TTGTTCAGCATCTTAGCTGTGGAGGGCAGTGTCACTGGCCCTCATATGTGGGATCCGAACCGGGGCCCTCTGGCGTCCTAAGCCAGTTCTTACCCATCGCGCCACTCGGCCGGCCCCTCATCATTTTTTATAGTTGAATTCTACCATTTATTCGTCCAGTCCCCTCTTGGGCATATAAATGGTTTCCAAATCCCTTTGCTGTTATAAGCAATGCTGTGGTAGATAATTTTACACACAAATTTATCTGTGAAATGACTTCCTACACACAGGATAACTGGGTCAAAGGATATGTGTGTTTCTGATTTGTGTCAATCTAGTTAAATTGCCCTCCAATCTGTGCCAATTTATAATTGCACCAGCAATATATGTAGTGCCCATTTTCCCACACCTTTATCAGCACAGTTATGAAACTGTGTTATTTGCTAATCTGAAAGTGAAAAAGTGCTCTTCATTAACATTTCTCTTCTGAGTGAGTTTGAATCTGTGTTCAAACATTTAAGAGCTATTTGTATTTCCTTTTCCCTGAATTGCCTGTTCATATCCACAGTCCATTTTTCTATTTTGTTGGTCTTTCTTAACTTGAAAGAACTCTTTCTATAAAGGGTGATTAATTCTTTGTCTGGGGTATAAGTTGCAAATATTTCCCCCAGTCTGTGAAATGTATCCAGCCTTTAGTTCATTTATATTCTTTGCTGAGTAGTACTTGATTGTGTGAATGTAGCTTTTACCAGGTGTGATGATGGTACCTCAGTTCTTGTCTTCTTGAGGGAAAGAATTTGGTCAAGAGACAGAGTTTGTCCAATTGTAGAATAGTAAGAAGTTTATTAGCAGAGCAGATACCCTCCAAAGATTATGGAGCGGGCTGACCCAAGAGAGGGAAAAGCAGCAGCCTCTTCTTACATTGTGTGTGAGTTTTTATTTCTATGGGTAAAATTATCTCCTCCTCTGCCTCTCCAGTATCTCTCATTCTCCCAGCTGGCGTGCCTTGTACTCCCTTCTTGCTTCTAAGGTTGTCTGAGCTCATTACAATGGCCCTGCAAAGGATGTACATTTTGATAAGCAAGATGTTTTCCCATCCCTCTCAAGCATTTTTCCTTCTTGCTTTGGGGGCATGTGTGACCCACTATCCTGCTGAGCTAGTTGTTTTGTGCCCACCTTTGTTTATGATATCCTGCAGGGCAGGATATCTGTGACCTAAGTAGGAGCAGCTGCAAGGGGCCTCCTAACCAAGGCTGGTTCCCTCTTTCTCCTGCTCATTTCTACCTTTTTACCTACCTATCATAACTACATTTTTCCCTCCATCGATTCTACGGTTGCTGAACATTTGGGTGGTTCCTAGTTTTGAGATGTTACAGAAATTGCTGCTATAGATATTCAAATACATGTGTCCTTAGCTTCCTCCCTTTGCCTGGCCCTGTTCCTCTCACCCTTGTACTGGTTTCCCTTGAGATCATATCTTTAATAAGTCACTTGAACATGAAATCTTGTCTGGGGAACCAGACCTAATACAGACATCGATGGCTTTGGTGATGCTGGGGGTTCCAGTGTAGACAGACTGGAGAAGCATCAAATCCTCCTCCTTTGGGTGACTAAATGGGACCACTACGGGTGCTGACAGCAGCAGAGACTACCCCCCTCCCCGACACACACACACACATACACACCCAGGACAGAATTCCTGATCCTTCTGCTGGATGCCCAAGTGACAAAGAACAAGACATCCTGTCATACCCAGGGTTCATTTTGCTCTTTTCTCTTGTTTGGGGAGAGTTTGGGGTAGAGCAGGGGTAGGAAGAGAGAGACCCAGGCTTCCATCTTGAACCAGAAGCACAACTGGAGATTCTCAAAGAGAATGTGGATCCTGAGAAAGGGGAAATTATGAAGAGGGAGAAGAGAGAGGCAGCTAAGAAAGCCTGAGATCACAGGGACAGGAAAACATCAAATGTGTGTCCAGGCAGGGTCTAACGAGGGCTTGGAGGTGGCTCAAGCCCCAAATGAGCTGGGGACCAGGGAAGCAGAGCAAAGCCCAGAGCCACCAGACTCTGAATGTAGACGGGGGGGGCTTCAGCGTGGACATCTCCTCTGGCAAGAATACAGCCAACTGGTGAACTAATCACTCTGCAGACCATGGCTTTGACGTCTCCTTCTCCAGGGGTCCTCCCTGACCCAATGCCCAGTTACTGTCCCCTGCACTATACTTCTCACTGCACATTTCACATAGCATTATCATTGTCTGTGTCCTTGTCTCTCTCCCCCAGACCGTGAGCTCCTGGGGTTTGGGACTGTCTTTTGTTCAATGTCTGGCACAGGGCCTGGCACACAGTCAGTGCTAAAAAAGTGAAGGGGACATGAAACCTAAGAGCTGTGTGGGGATTGGAGTCATCCTTGCCGGGTGGATGCTCCCAAACCCAGATGAGCTATGTCCAAGCACATCAGAGGAATTTTCTGCTGAAATCTCTGAGTAACTGTCTATCTACACTTGGAAGTTTCAGGGAAGGGGATGGGGCCATTGGACCAAAGTTGAGGAAGATAAATCCTAAAAGTGCCACTGATCACCTTGGTATTCATGCCTGATAACATGCCATGGGAAAGGTGATTTATCAAATGCCTTGTTGGTGTCACTCTCCAGGGGGGCATTGGGAAGTGTCCTG